AGATGCTCACAAACCTCTCAGCGGCTTGTCGTCTGTACCGCATTTTGGTCAGCCGCATCTCGAAAAGGATCAACCAAGCTTTGCAATTTACTCAATTGCTTATTTCCCATTGCCGAAGAGCCAATGGCGTATATATTTAATTTCCTTTGGAGTATTCGTAGATGGGTGCTATATAGCATACATATGTACATGGTGCTATGTTCTATATATTATATATATGTATGAGCAGAAGAGGTTGTGGTGAACTAAGATAAAGAAAGTTAGTCTTTAGGCTCTACTCTCTGGTTAAAAGTTTTGTTAAAATATTTTTATTAAAATATAAAACAAATATAACTATGAGTATATTTAACGGCTAAAAATCGTCTAAGGTATTTAAGACCCCAAACTAGGAAAAGCGCATAGAGACGGAGCAGATATGCTGGCCAATGCTAGCTGCGTTAAGTTTCAGTTTGCTTTAAGCTCTCGTCTGTTATACTATAGGGCTGTAGCCAGCTAAGGTATTTTATTTGAGCCGCCATCAAAGAAGGTATATTTGTGGACCAAGAAGCTAATTTTCTCTTAGAGCGATGAGTTTGGTATATACTAAAGCAACTCTTTCGCTTTACTACTTAAATTAGTTCTCCTCTTAACGCTTCCTGTGGGAAGATGATAGTCTAAGGGGTGGGTTTTTGAAAACTTGAGCCCACACGATATTTAAAACTTACCCAAGTGGTGATCTTTATTTTTGGAATGTATTATTGTCTACTGCAATTTACACTTTCGCTGTGTACCATTTTCTTCTGGGTATTTAGCCAACTGGGAAATCACAAAAACTAAAATTTTATGCTCGAAAATGTACACGTGAATATCAAGTTTATATGTGTGTCTTAACATCATCAGGGTACAAAGGTACCACAATCCATATATACAAGCAAATATAGGTATGTTTATATATAAATTTTTGTAAGTCCCATCAATTGTTTGCCATTAAAGTGGACCAAAGTCAAAAGTGGACACACACAAAAGAAAATCCACTTGCCAATTATTTTCATCGAACAGGTATCATGTGTATTTAAAACATAAGCTTACACACATACATGAAAGCACTCGCACTCATACAAGTTGCGATCAAACCCACTCGTATCTTGTGAATGTATTCGGTCTTGAATGGTTGCATAAGCTGCAACACAACGGGATTAGCTTCAATTCATACAACAAATATTTTGCAAAAGTTTATCAGAAATACACACACACACTCACTCACATGCATATGCATACACAGAGACACACTCATAGTTGTTGACAGTGGACATTTGAGTTTGGTATTTACCGTTCACCAGCGTCCAACCGGAGTGTGGAGCGAAAATGTTGTGGAGGTGTGGCAAATTCAAGAAAATGCCAAAATGTGAAATTTCATTTTCTCACAAATTGCGGATTATTTAGCCATAAAGAGGGCAACTCGAAAGCAATTTAAATTTTTAAGCAGCAACAAACATGAAGCCAAATGCTAACTGCTTGTGTTTACGAGAGCCACTTGCTTTGCTGCAATTGTGTATGGGTTGGTATATGGTGTGTACGAGTATATATGTGGAGTGAAAGAAATCTTTCGCTATTCGCTTGAGTAAAAAAGGATGTATTAGGCACTCACCTGCGGCAAGTAAGTAGAGAAGCTCCTTGAAGTTGACTGGAGTGGGTAAAAGTGTTGAAATCTGTAAGAGAAAATGTTGTTGATTATTTGGGTAACCAAGTTGGATGTGTTGTTTCGTAAATTTTTTTATTTTTATTTTAGTTTTTTTTTTTTTGTTTATTTATTTCTTTCTCTTTCTCATTTGTCCATCTCACTTTGCTGACTGTATTTCTTATCAATTTGTTGCCAGATTGGCTGTTGTTTTTTCTACCATTTTACGATCCTTTTTGAACTTATTTGCACACATACAAACATACACATAAGCTTACTTAAATGTAGTTACATTACGTACTTAAATGCAAGTAGGGAAGAGCTTATTTTCTTGGCGTGAAAAAAATTGATTTTAGCAATAATTTTCGAGAAAATTTCTAGCTCGTTTGAATGAAATTTCCAAAAATAAAATATACATATATTATGTATATAAATAAATAGAAATTGTTGAAGAAATATTATTATATATCTTATTTAAGCGATTTTACCACTTTTAGTAGTTAAAATAGAATTTTTCATGCTTCGAAAAATTATTAATTGTTTTTCAAATAGTTTTCATAAAATCTAGCATTTTTTATACACTATTTAAATTTTCAGTAAATATTCGAACAATCGTAATTATTTTCGGAATTAATGAACTTTAATTAATTTTTTTTTTTCTATCCCATGGATCAATTAGCGCTCTCAATACCCAGGTATTGACAGCACGAGTAGCTAGGTCGTTGCTAAGCTTCTCAAATCCTTGCTCGAAACTCTCCAACTTTCAATTTTGTTTATCAATTAGCATATCCAAGAGTTCTTCACTTTGCATAAACAAATTCGAAATTTTAGAAAGAATTTCTGAGAAAAAAGTCTAGATTTTTGCTGAGAGTGTAAACAACGCTAGAGTTCAACCAAAAATATACCCACTGTTGTTCCAGGAAAAATTTGCTCTGACCCTAAGGCTCCTTTCCCTCCATTCCGAGTCCCTCATAGACTATATTATATCGCTCGCTTTAATTTATGTTACATAACGAAAGTTACACATACAAAAAAGCGACTCCAAAATGTCGATGTCCACATCTACTCAGAGCAGGGCAATAACTTAATGTGTAGATAGAAAGTGATACCGCTGTGAGGCTCTTATCTTCACCTTCTCAAGTACTCGAACTATTTCGGATGTCTTATAAAAGTAACGAGACTATCAATTTCTGCTGGAACTAGTTCGGTGAGACGGTCAAAGATGTGTTTCTCGAAGAACTTATGACGCGCAGTTGTGAAGGCTGAACAGTGGCAGAGATAGTGTTCAATAGACTCTCCCTCTTATTCGTGGTAAATTAAGGTGGTAACCTATTCTTCCAATTCTTCACATCCATTGTTGGTTACAGCTTTCTGCATATGTTCTCCTGCAGCCATCTAGTATTTAGTTTTTCTAACAAATGACAGTTTTAGCAAATACTCTACCATGAACAAAGGTGCGCCTGCATCGTCTGCATAGTTTGGCCACCAACCTTGCTGTAGTAAAGCTTAATTATAGGGTAATTTTCTTTCAAAATCTGAATTAACTTCGACCTTTACTAACAGGTTCGTCCTCACTTACGATATGTCAACTTAACACGAGCTCCTTTAGTAGGATTCTGCATGTGTTAAGAAGCTTACCAATGCGTTCTTTATACGAAGATATCTACTTTGTTATACCCTTTCTAGTGAGATCGTCTGCTTTGCAATTATCCTCTACTTCTCTGGGACTAGGAATTCAGGAATTTTGTTCAACCATCTTCTAAAGAGAACGGCGACAGTCCAGTTACACGAAGATATCTACTTTGTTATACCCTTTCTGGTAAGCTCGTCTGCTTTGCAATTATCCTCTACTTCTCTGGGACTTGAAATTCAGGAATTTTCTTCAACGTTCTTCTAAAGAAAACGGCGACAGTCCAGTGTGAACTCAAAATCGTAATCGAGCCCAGAATTATTACCAAAAAGAGAAGCACATCAGCCTGTGCTGCTTGGTATAAAAAAAAAAACTATAATTCTCTAGTATTACAAGAGTGTCCTGTTAGTTGGTATCTCCACCGTTTCTAGCCATTTAGAGCTGACATTGATGTTCTCTGATGCCAATTCTATAAGCCAGATATCAAGGAATATGTTTAAAGCTTCATGGTGATGCATATTCACCATTGCAAACAACCATACTACTGCGCCATAGAAGAGTATTGGCTCTTCCACCTACTAATACGAAGAGCTTGCGGCAGATACTGGAATTTAAGCCTCATTTTTTGCTGCTAGCTTATTGACAGGCACGGAGCGAGGTGATCTTCCCTTATCGTCAACTTATAAGCTCTTCTCAGATAAGTTTACTTGATAAATCTTAGTATTAGCTCTCAGAATTTGGCTTTGGTTAAGAACTGATGGGCTAAATGACTTAAGTTTGTACTTACTACTCAAGATCCAACTTATGAGAGTTAACACAATTAGTTCAAAAGAAGATACCTTGCGTGCATTATATAATATTACCTCTGGTTTGTAGAAACCTACCCCAGCTATGTTATCATTGGCAGAAACCTTTGTCTAATTTAGTAAGAAGTGAGTTTAGGATTTGAGTGCATGGTCGAGACATTACCGCACTGGTGGTTGAAAATTCTTTATGGTTTTCCCTAATGAATACCTTTGAATAGAATTCGTCGTCAAAGTAAAGATAAATCTTTTTAGATGCGTCTCTTTGTCACATTTTAAAGCTCTCCTCAGTTTTTTCTCACACGATGGGGACCGATTGTTTTGCCATTCTCGGTGCAGTCCACACTTTTCGATTACAGAGCACACAATTAGACTGTTGGCGCTTCGTTTTGTACTTCGGAGACTCTCTGTTGATTATGGTGTCGCTACAATGCCTTGTTATCTTTGAAAAAAGTTATACGTTTTATCATTAGCTTTTTTGGTATTAAAGAGTTCAAAATTTTTCTTTTCTTTTATAGGTAAATAAAAACATTTGAAAACTTCTAGAAAATGTTCACAGTTTCATTAAGCCATTAGAACTTTTATTTCATTCATGTTTTAGCACAAATGAGAATTTTGCGCACAAAATCAATATACCCTGCGCCACAAACTCTATCCCCAGCTATAGAAGCGCTGCCGCTTAAATGTGTGTTATTTGACCATTGATTTTTACCTTGAGCTTCCAGTATGAGCTTAGTGCCCTTTACTTTCGCTTTACCATTACTTAACCACTTACCTGATATTCGGGTTATTGTTTCCTCTTTTCCATTTCTTCATCAACTACTTCTACTTCTTTCATTTTGCATTACTCGTTTTACATACATATTTACTCACTGCTAAGTGTGCATTCTTTGTTTGTTTCTCATTTTAGCCCGATTTGTCGGTACAAAAGACGCGTACACGTCTCCGGTTACGTATTGGTAAATTTGCGACACCTCACACCAGCGTCACCACCACAGCCGGCCAAACAGCATTGGGACTGGTCGAGGGCAATTCCACAAATACGGTGAACACTGTGGAGGATACCGAATTCAGTAGTAGTAATGTGGATAGTAAAAGTCGTGCGGGCATCGAATCGACAACGATGTTTAGCAACAATCCCGAAGAGGTGAGTGAGTGGGAGTGAGTGAGTGTGAGACGTGTGAGTGAGAGATGTGTGTGGAATGGTGTGTAGTGTAAGAGCAAATTTAAGTTAATGGCATACGCTTTAGTTATTTCATTATATGTATGGGTGTGCGTGTGTGTATGTATGTGTTTCTCTGTGTGTGGATGTGTGCATTAAAATTCATCTCTGCGTATGGCAATAAGCCACGATTTCACTTCTGCGTAAAGGTAAAAAATGTGCTCGGTAAATGTGCGTAATTGGGATAATGCTCAACAAATTTCGGTCACTAGCATACTATACAAATATAAGAATAGTTACATATATATATATATATATATACATAAGCTACAGCCTGCTCTTTTGCTAAATAATAAATTTGCTTAAGAGATTTACGGCAGCAATTTGGTGTAGCAATGCCAACTTTCTTAATAAAAGAAATATAGAAATTGTGTGTGTGTGTGTGTGTGTGTGTGTGTGTGTGTTGGAATGTATAGCATAAATTGGATTTCAAGAGGGTCTTAACAAATAATAAATAAATAAGAAAAAAAGAACAAATAAATAAAAATAAAAACAAATGTGTAATTTGTTTTACTCTATGAGAGGTAATAAATTTGTATCGATTGCCCAGTGTGACAATTTGGGAATAAGCAGGATTAATCAAATGAAAGTCAAAGCGAAAGTCAATTTTATATTTAGAAGTGAAATAACTAAAACTTTTACACACACAGGAGAATAAGGCTACGCCCCGCTGTGTGGCTTAAGCATTACCTGCAGGCTTATGTCAAAATAACAGTTCTTTTCAACATATTTTCAATTTTATTTCAAAAAGGTGGCGTAGTTGCTCGAAAACAATCTAAATTTTACATGAATCAATCTTACACTAGACCACACTTTTTCTTGCTCCTTTAAGCAAAAAGGTACCTTTGCACCGAATTTCGAGTAATACGTACTTTAAAAAATAAATTTCGATTTAGTTCAGTCACTGGTTCACTTCCCGACAATTTCGTAAATTTCTTCTCGAGAATGATGTACACAATCTGACGAAATTTCAAGTCAATCGGTCGGTAACTGTTGAAGATTTTTTGGGTTAGTAGATCTTTTCAAACGGACGGATAAGGCGAACCAGCTCCTACCCTGCTCCAGGTAAGAGCTCATATGTCACTTTTTTACCGTAATCTTAGGCCAAAAACCTTCGAAATGTTGGTAGGTTAAGACAATGATATAGATAACTAGAACAAGTTCTCGGCAGAGAGAAACAACTCTCTTAGTCAACATATTACTTGGGTAGATTTCTAAATTTTTGGCATTAAATATCAATCAGTCATTCTAAAGTGGTTTAGAATTGAACTTTAGGTCCCTATAGTCCCAACATGTACACCACACATTGCAGTAGGAACTGCTCCTGCACAAAAATTTCTTCGGCGATTAATGGAGCAACATTGTGTCTTCCCTTCGCTGTTTGATACCAACTCAAAATACTAAGTGTGACCAGATCGCTCTTCAATTGATCCTAAAAACAAAGTGGAGGTCTTCATGATCTTCTTTTGCATCCATCTATATTTGCTGCACCGAGCTATAGCATTTTCATTCACTCGACGTCTTGACTTAGCCAGCAAATTCGCTGTTTCCTAATCCGCTGAATTATGTCGATTTCACCGCATATCTCATATTATAGGGTTTTCATCCCACGTGGTGTGTGTGTCATAGTTTTCATCACTGGTTTCCCAAGATTGAACGCATCGTGATCCGTTGGTGGATACGTCAAATCTAACACAGAATCCTATAAGTTAATTGACGTTGGATCTTTTACACATACGATGAATCTTTTACACGTAGGATGGATCAGTATTGCCTCATTCTTTCTTTGTGATTCTTTAAGCGAACAATCGTTTGTCGAACTTCTTCTTGGTCCTGGTTCATCGGTTTATGGAACGTTTATACCATCGGTTGGGTTTTCGAGCTCGATATCTCCATGTGTTAAATTTTAACTGCAATTAGATAGGCTGGAAATGTGTTACTTCCATAAACTCAATATATTGTACTATGCACTTCAGTCACCGTCTGCAGTACACCAGCTTTCTTCCGCCTGCGAATACCAAGAGTTTGCTTGGCGGCTGTACGTAGTGAGCTTGAAATACTGCCCCATAGTTTCATTGATGGGGAGTTGAAAAATGTTCGGCTGTTTGAACCTTCTCTGTGCTTGTCCACGCACGTTCTTGGCTGCATCGATGCGGACGCATATCTTTTTTGTAACAAGATAGCGATCCAAATTGTTTGCAAGATCAATGAGAATACGTACATCTAAAATACTGGAGATATGTCTAGCGTGACAACCAAGTAGTCTGATGGAATTTTCGAGTCGAGAATTGGTATTGCAGATAAATATATATCAAATCCCGTTGAAGTGGATCAGCTTAAGCTCTTCAAGGGAGATCTCATTGTTGAGGTTAAATTTTCCGACTTTTGAAACCAAGATACCTTATTTTGTTCGACGATTGAGTCTCTCTCTCACCCCAAATTCCACACCAAACCTGCACCGATTTATATATCCGCTGTGAAACCTACACTTATTCGCCCTTGTCTCATTCATTACATTTCCTGGCTGTATTTGATCAGCTGGTTGATATCACTACAACCGTGAAGTTCTAAGCCAATTGAGACATATGTCAAATTGTGTTCCATCAAACTCTTGGTCTTACATCTCGTAGAAAGAACAACTGCATCCACCGATGTCCTAATCACCTTTAGTTGCCTAAACAATAGCATCTGTAGAGTAACCAGTCTAAACTGATTGTGCTAAAATGAGGAAAAAATATTCCAAATCAGATCTGGCATCTTTTTTCTGACACCGAATATCATCGCCACTCTAATAAGTTGTCTAGCAAAACAACAACTACGTCAACTCTCCAACTAGTTTCTTTCAAGTTTCCAACAGAACATCGGCCGACCTAACCCAGATTAAAGCTTTTATACTTAAAAGCTGTACCGCGCCTAAAAAAAGTTGAGATTCGGTCAGTTACACTGGGTGCCTCACTCAACTCTTGATCTCGCTCTAAAAACTCGTAAAACGACTATCCGCCTTTATGCCGTCGAAGTGGACGTCCCATTGAGAAACTAATGCCTCACCTGCCGTGCGTGCCAGCTCTTCAGTTTTTTAAAAGCAACGCAAAATCTCTTTAAGCGAGAGGTACTAGTGGAGACAAATTTATGTAGCGAACATCATGCTAGGCTGTTCGCAGCGGCACCTTTTGACAAACACACATTGCCAAAAGACTCCGGAGAAACCATAAAGAGAATAATCATATTGACATCACTAAAGCTTCCGCTCTTTAGGGCGCAATTTAAGCCTTTACATGTTGGCTAACGCATCTTGCACAGTATTCCACACATTTCCAGAGCATGACCCAGAGGCAGGGAGTGTAGCCCTACGACATTTACTACATATCCAGAAGCAAGATTGCATCCCTTCACAAAAAGATAGTTAAAAATAGTTTTTAATCGTCAGAAATTAAGACAAATAAAAATGTTCCTACATACATATATTTCTCTCAATTGTTTCAGCTTAACATTTTTATTTGTCTTCTTGTCTACGAATTCCGATGATATCCCAGCAAAAGTAGATTTTGTAATAACTAACTGTAATACACCCAATTGCTAGGTTAGCTGACCACAAAGTCAATAAACTTAAATAAATGTACGATAGCAAAATTTACACAAGAAATCAATTTCAAATCTTTTAATTTCTTATTTACACATAAAATTCTGGAAAATGTCTCATATCTCTGAAGTCGCTTAATCTCCTCACAATCCATACGCTTACTTGGTTCGAAAGTAAGTTTTTCACCAACAAAAACTCCACTGCACAGCTTGAATATGATATTTTCTGTGTACATATACCAAACATGTATGTATATGTGTATGTACATATACGTATGTATGCACTTGCAGGCCTGTGGCAGAAAAATGTTTTCTTCTTAAATACCAAACTCTTTAGATATGAGCAAAATTTTAAGCTTCGGAAGCTGTAATTGTTAACTTTGCTCTATACAAATTGACCCCGAATAATCTTAGTTGGACAGTTGTAGGGCATAAAGTTCATCCATATGTAAACACAAAGAGGTGTATGTATATATTCTTACTGCCGTTCATACAGGCGGTAATAAAGTTAAAATAAAAGTAGTTTGAAGCTATGATTTTTGGCTTTCTTTAGTAAATTCATAAAAGAGACTTGAAAAAAAAAAACTCAAATATTCTACTAAATTAAATTTAACGCTGAGTTTGGGATTTCGTTTTCTCGCAAAATATATTTTTTATTATTATTTATTCTGACTTTCTTTCTGTGGTATAGCATTACAATTTGATTTTATTTGTTTATTGAAATGCCATAATATATTCATACACTAGTACTTAGCATATATGTATATGTATTTATTTCTTATTTCATTTCTATTTATTTCTATTGCTCGACAAATTTGTGCACCAACCCACAACGCAAAATGAAATTAAATTAAAAGCTTAAGCTATTTTGGCTAGAATAGAGAAGTAGTTCATGTAAGAGTAGTATCATTGCAGGTTGTCAACGCGCTGATTCCAGTATGTGTTGGTTTACGTGGTCGTTGTTGCCTTGGGATATGCCTGAAACCTTGCCAAAACAAATATTTGATTAAAGAAAGCAAGCTGAAAAATATTCTTAAGCCAATATAAATATGTACATAAATATTTTTATTGCTGCTTAACGAAAGTTGAGTAAATAATGGCGGCCCCTTAAAGGTCAATTCTTTAATGTGAAAGAAAAAAATTATAAATTATTGTATAGTACGATATAATTTACAATGAAATAATAATAGCAAATAAAAATGTATAGCAAAAAATTAAAAATAAATAGTGAATGAATAAATAGCAATTCACAAAAATAATAATTATCATAGTAGATAATGAAAAATAAATAATGTTAAATAATAAATAATAGATAATAAATAATAAATAATATAATAAATAATAAA